GGTTTTGTCCACGATTGTCTGACCTGTAATGACTGATATGTCCATAATTTCGAACGCTTGAAAAGCGGTTAAGGGTACTGGAATGATGTACTAAGGTTCATATGACGTTAGTATTACATCATAAATGTTGTACCAATTACATGTAATTATTGTACAATTAATGACGTCATAGACATCCAGTGTATAATGCTAAAAATTGTATTAAACATGGTGTTTACTGGAACGTTTTCAGCAGAAAAGAGAGCATACATAAAACTAGTGGGGAAAACTGGAATGCGTACAGCTAAAGAAGTTGCAGAAGAATGCGCAGTGTCTTTGCCAAGTGTATATAGAATATGGAATGAGAAATTTAAAAAGGATTTCAAACAAAAGCAGAAAAACGAAAGAGGTGGTGGCAGGCCTGAGAAACTGACTTTAAGACAAAAACGCTCTGTTCTGCGAAATATTAATATTTTAAGAGAGGAAAATAGCAATTTTAATTCTAAAAAATTGCTTCTCAACTCACTAATAAACCCAAAGGATATTTCTTCACGCACATTGCGGAGTTTTTTGAATAAAAATGGATACCATTATCTGCAAGCAAGGAAAAAAGGAATATTAAGTAAGACTGATATTCGAAAGCGATATAACTTTGCAAAAATTATGAAAAAGGATTACAGCAGTGAGGTTTGGACAAAGCAAATAGCGTTTTATCTGGATGGAGTTAGCTTCACACACAAAACAAATCCAGCGGACGAGGCCAGAGCACCAAAAGGCAGAATCTGGAGAAAACCTAATGAAGGCATGGATAGAGGATGCACGGCCAAGTGCAGTCACAAAGGATCTGGGGGGAAGCTTGTCAAAATGATGGTTGCAATAAGCCATGGGGCAGACGTTGTGCTATGCGATCAGTATAATAAGTTAGACGGGCCGTATTTTAAAGATCTGGTGCTCAGAGAATTTCCCCAAATGTTCAAAAAGGCACGAAAAGGTCGCTCTCGTCTCTGGCTGCAGGATGGAGATCCTAGTCAAAATAGTGCAGCGGCGAAAACGGCAATGAAATCCATACGAGCAAAATTACTATCAATACCGGCACGTAGTCCAGATCTAAACCCGATCGAAGATCTATTTCACCTCGTTAAAAATCAACTGAACAATAATGCAATTGTACAAAATATAAAGAAAGAAAATTTTCGAGAATTTTCCGCACGAGTACAATCAACGATACTCAATTTTGATAACATTGTAATTGACAAAATCATTGAAAGCATGAGTAATCGCATTGAACTTGTTGTAAATAGAAAAGGGAAGAGAATTCGATATTGACTTTATATAATAAATTTTATTAATGCGTACTGCTTGTGAAATATAGAGTTAATTAATTAATATGCGTGTAACCTGCAGAAAGTTCTGTTCCAAATAATCGGTTATTTCTTATTTCATGAAGCTATATATAATTCGCATGTGAATAAACTTACAGCATGGTAGTTTTAACGTATTTTACACGAATCAAACTGCTGTCGGAGCGCTGGCATGAGAGCATTTCATTTTTTGCCCGACATCGACTTAATTAATTTTGTCATATTAAACTCACGGTTAACCACGGTCAACCAGAATAGTGTGTTAGAATTTTCCCTTAATATACATAGTTTTATTTTCCAACCTTCATGTTCCCATAGCTTTAGAGTATTTTGTCAATCAAAGAAAGCAAACCCATAATCTAAAACACTTGAAAACGCATATTTTGTAGCTGTTCATGATGTTTAAACGAAAATTGCATAAAGTAAACAAAGTATGATCTGTGTTTAATTCTAGTGGTTAACCGTCATTATCCGTCGTATTTTAGCCAAATCCAGGCAAGATATAACACTTAATTTGACGTTACCTGCAGATAATAAAGCATATATACCAGCTTGGATAAAGCAAAGTATATAAAAGTATTATTTCAGTGTTTCTAATGCAATTTTAGAGAATGGTTAACCGTGGTTAACCGTGGTCTAATAATATGCATGCGACGTCATTCTTACAAATCTATTTTTAGGGTATTAATAGTAATATAAATCTGAGACAAACAACCTAATTATATAATGTTAATTTCTTGAAAGTATGAAGCTATTTATTTTGCAACATCAATAGAAACTAGATCCAACTTCATGTTCCAATAATGTAAACAATTATTTTTAGTGTTTTCATCAATACACATGTATGTTGACGAACATTGCTGGCCGAATGGACGTGCGCTTTCTTGTGGAACACTTCACAGACAATCGTGGACAAAACTGTTAATAAAACTAATTAATATCATAATGAAATTGCATTAACCAAATTGTATTCCACATTCTGCCCCCCTTTCCCCCATTCAATGTTGGATTCGCCATCCCCACACTATAGACCCATTACTGCAACATTGTTCCGGGGGGAGAGGGGGCCCATGTGGCGTGATGCGCATGAATGTATTAACGAATATTGAACAAAAATCTACATAACTGCGAGTTTTATTAACAGGTTTTGTCCACGATTGCAGGTATATGTATCCAATATTTCACTTATTGCTAAAACTATGATTAACAAGGTGCATGGGCAGATAGTCTGATTAACTCATTGAGTGGCAGCACTCGTCCCCTGGCGAGTAAAATCACCTGGCGTTAGACAGTATGTGGATAGTAAAATAATAAAGTAGGGTGCATCTGAGCACATTGCCACTTAAAGGGTTAAAACTAAACTTGTCACTTGAATTATCATAAGATGAAAGTTACATAAAGAGAACAAAACAAAGTGATTGGAGAACAAAACTTCAACTGCTATGGTACTACCCTATATAACTAACAGCTAGGGATGCCTCATAGGCTCATACAGTAGGCTAAAGTTCAGTTTTATATATATACTGTATTACAACATCTTTGCAGCTGAATTAATTACACTACCGGTATCTTGTGTATTGTCAATTAGAGTAATGTGTATGATTTATAGGCCCTTGTATAGTATGTTGTACTGGTAATGAAGTTAATGAAATCAATATATATATGGTATGTTGTAGGACATCAACATAAGAAAATGGTGTTGTTCTGCCCTTGTGAGGAAGATGCTGTAACCCTGGTGAAGCTACAGTTATGGCCAGGATCCGCAAAACGACCACAAGTTGCATTCCATTCCAAACTGATGATGCTTGCAGAAATGTTGTTATTGGAATGTCATGTGTCACTTAAGAAGTTTTGTGATACTTTAGGATTAGAAAAATCTAACATGTTGCCAACATGGGTAAGTGCATAGTGATATATATCAAGTGCCATACATGGAATTATAAAATTTACAGTAATGTCTCTATATAAATACTGTAATAAGATAACAATAATGAATATTTATCTATAAAACATATGTACCGGTAGATATGTCTAACCCTTTAAGCGCTAGTGCTCTCTCCATGACCATCAAGTAAAATTGTCTGGCGTTAGACAGAGTATATATAATGATAAAGTGGGATGCATTAGGGCACAATGTGATTTAATGGGTTAACTAGACACGTGGTCAGATAGGCCAGTTAAACCACCAATTAAGCACCAATTGTCTGGTGTTAGACAGATTTATCTAGTAGAATAATAAAGTAGGGCACATCATGGCACATTGTGACTCAATGGGTTAAACACAATATACTGAATGTGTGTCTTTGTATTAAGGGAACTACAGTATTAATAGAAGCTTAATTAATTTAGTTAATGGTTTTATCCAGAAAGGAGGTGCTTGCTGTATTTGAGAAAGATTACATGGAGAATAATACTGTACATGGGTGTCATGCGTGTGCGGAAAATACCAGGTTTTTTTTAGTGTTGCACGATATTTCAAGAATCTCAAGAGTGAGCGACAATTGAAAAGCAAAACTTTTCACATGTGAAATTATCATAATAATCTCACATGTCAACATGTGAGATTATCAGTTTTACAAGTTCTCAAAATCTCTATAAAGCACTGTACTTTATACAATATTATCTAATATCTTATCAGTAGAATGATGCAATATTTAAAAGGTATTCTATGTACTCTATGAGCACAGACTGTCCAGTGAGTGTAGTGATTCCAATGATACCTTGGAGCAGTGTGTCTAACTCTTGGTGCATTTATAAGACAGTGTGCTGTACTTCAGGTTAAATTATAGTACTTATAAATATGTTGCATTTTCTAATAGCTTACATTATAATGTGATTATATAGGTTAAGAATGTTTGCCAGATTCTAAACAGTGGCTCCTTTGATGAATTTCGGCAATAATATCTTATTTTTTAAATTGAGAATGATCATAAATATAAATTGTATTTGAATGTTTGTATAGCCCATTTGAGTGGCAGTAATTTAATTAATTGATGACTTTAGATACATTAGTAAAATAGTAGTAAATTAAAGTAGGATGGAAATAAACCAAATACAGTACCGGTATGTCACTTTTCAACCAAAACAATTAAAAAGGAAATTTTTACCTGTAAAGTAGCATTGATTGCACCATGTATTGTACCCTCAATTTCATTAACCTGATCTACTGTTCAACATGACACTAGATAATTGTATACTGTAGTACAATTTTCATCAAGGCAAGAGTGCTGCTCAATTGGTTAAAAGAGAACTTTTTCATTTTTAGGTATCATCAATACTTGTTTAGGACAATGAAGCCTTCTTCCTGAGCACAGTACACTAGCTAGCGAGTGTCCACTTTGTCCTGAGTATGAGGTAAAAAAACTAAATGAACTGAACAACTCTTGGTCGGTCTCTTGATTTTTACTGACTTGTTGATACTGAATGAATTTGAGATGTTAGTCATTGAAGATGCATTCGACAATGACCTGGCATTTATATCTACTGTATTATTGCAATGTAAAACCTTGATTTGTTTTTTAATGATTATTTTATGTTCTAGAGTGAAACTAATGGCACCAGTAATTGCAAAATGTTATGATCGAGTCTATGAATGGATGCTTTCGACTTGTAAGGAAAAAATCTGCTGGTTCAAATATTGTACCATCAAGGCACAGTGCTACTTTTTTTGCAAGTTGTGATGAAGTGGACAGCTTTGTTGATGAATACTGTAAAAGCGCTAAAGAAGCACCTACGGTTAGACACCTACGTCCTTTTGTTATAATTATATTGTGCGTTTTTGCAGGGCCAAAGCTATTGGGGGGGGGGTGACTCTAGCTATGACCCTGCAAATTGTGTGACACCCCCTGAAAACGTCTTGTCGGCAAAATAACGGATTTATCGGCAAAATAATGGATATATCGGCAAAATAACGGATATATCGGCAAATCGTCTTCGTATTCAGTGAAAATATGTGAGTGACTCGGATTAAAAAGTAGTAGTTATAGCGAAATATTTTGATAAATTTATGAAATTATTACTGAAAAATGTAGAAATTACATTACATTAATTGGAAATTTAGTGATAAATGGTATGTCCGGAAAATGTTTTACCTCCCCCCCGGAAATGTTGTCGGCAAATACGACACTATACCCCCTGCCCCCTGCTTTAGCCTCTTCGCTACGGCCCTGCGTTTTTGTTGCTTAATACCCTTGTTTGTATTTTTTAATTTTGCATGGTAATGATATGGCCAGAACTGAACATCCCTGCATGCATGAATATTATCTAGACTGCTGTTCGTTCTTGTACATTTACAGTATGCACACTTTCACAAGTACAGTATTTAAAGTGGCCAACTGGTGCACCTAACTGACTAACCCAACACCAATGTTAGTTAAATACATATTTATATTGATATATTTCTTTCAATATTTATAAAGAATTGCAGTGAATTTAAAGCTGGAGAGGTGGATAGCATGCTACGATCGAAAGGAAGGAATAAGTTATTTGATGAAAAAGGAGTGTTCGTTCGAGTTTGTAGGCATGAGTATCCTAAAGGTTTCATCAGTATGAAACATGGAGAAAGGTGTTTGTACTTTAATTTTCCACCAGAGCTACAATTTATACTTCCAATACTGATGACTTTGCAATACCATACCGTGTAGTGTAAAGTAACAGTAGGTTTGATCTTGCCAGTTTTTTTGTTTTTTTTAGGATTGCGTATATTCAGTGTTCGAAGTTGAGCGTCTGCTGTCGTCGAACGCACCCTGTATTGACCTTAAAATTACGTATGATATAAGTTGCACTCTCTAAGCTCATTTCGAGGTAGAGAAAGCATACTTTGAATATTTAATACTATAATACATGCTGTGATCTGATCTCCTCTATTCTATTGCACAGCATCCCAGCTGTGTATGTATACGATACACAACCTAATCTTGTCTTGGGAATAATGGGAATATTCTTGTCTAAAGATAATGTATTTTGGTAATTTGATAGAAAAACGACAGGCAGGATATTCTTTCAAGTGTTGAATTGGCAATACCCGTGTTTCATTCTTATGGTCACAAGTCATTGTGTCAGGTTTGTTAAGTTCTGCATAATCGTAGTACAGTGTACTTTTGGACTCTTCTTAAAAATTTAATCATGAGTGGTGTACATTGTTAATGTAATGCAAAGGAAAAGCCTCTGTTCGCATTATGATTTAATCCTGCGGACTTCACTTGCTTGCACCCTCAACTGCAAATTAAAAAGCCAGAACCCGGGTTTCAAATTTGGTGGAGGATGCAAACAGGCTTATTTCTCTGCTAACCACGTCATACTGAATGATGATGCCTTAAAATGTAAGAAATATATACTTAAGTGATGGCTTAAAACGTAAGAACTCGACACAGAAGGCCATAGATGTTTGATTTTAAGTATGATTGTCTGTTTTTTTGTTTGATTCTTTCTTCCCTTGATAATCACTAATGAGTTTCAGCATAATGCATTATTATATCTTGTTGTGGTGATGAGGAATGTCGTTTGTACTTTGTGTAGATTGGCAATAGTCCCAGAAGAAAAAGCGCTTTTGGACTTACTGACAGCGAGGGAATAGAAAGGTTATGGGCTTATTTGAGAGGATTCTCCGCAATCACAAAAGAAATGATCCCTGGGCGTCGAGTCGATGTCTTGACTGATGGACTTCTTCATTATGCTCAGCATCGGATTAATCAATTCGGTAAATATTATAATAAAATTATTGTGTATAATTCATATATTTGAAATATTGACTTAAAAAATTATCAAACTACAGTACTACGCCTATTGGTTATTTCTCAGGACCATCGCTTCTTGCTAAAGTGAAGAGAGCAAAAGAGCTTTTGGAAACTACAAAGCTTCAATTAGATGAGATATTCTCAAAATTACAAGGTACAGTATATGCACATGCATGTGGATGCATGCATGCAAGCAAGCAACATTTTAAAAAATACAGTTTACCATATATATTTACGATGTTTCATGCAATATGAATTGCTCCATTTATTGGCATTAGATATCACTGACGTGTCATATGTGTTATTTTAGCTATTTTGTTTCACAGCATATAAATTTTAAAAACTGAAACAAATGTTTTTCTTATATACACCTGTAGTTCCACTTGATGCCAGCTTAATAGAACGTTGGACCGATGAGGAGAAATCTCTATTGTTGTCAAGAAATAGTAAGTTCAAAAATTCACTCTTTTGGGCTTTATATTTTAATAACACCGCTGCAGTACCCACATGCAGTTCATATTTATTTACTGTTCAAGTTATTGCATTATAGCATACACTGTATATTATTTTGTTTTCTTGTTAAGCAGAAAAGGTTTTACCTGTAACATGGGAAGCAAAATACGTACAGAATCTGTCGTACTTAGAAGAACTCTGGTACATGAAAGCATTTTTTTATCACTATACGTACAGTATATGACCACTTTACCCTTAACAATTGTATTAACTTGTTTATTATTAGCATGACAAAATTACTGGATGCTGATTGGTTGAGAGGAGTACAATTATTTCATTAATTGTACTGCAGTACAATTAATGATTTTCTCAAAACAAACAAAATGGCCGAAAGGTATTTTAAACACAATTGCGAAATGAAATTGCCGTGGAGGAACTACATGAAAATACGAACAAAAGCACCAAGTTTTGCTTGAACAAAAGAACTAAATGAAAATACAAACAAAAGCACCAAATTTTGGTTGAAAGTCTGGCAGGACTGATGGGCTTTGGCGAAAGAATACAATGTTGACATTGAGAAGTACGTATCCCATTTTGTCATGCTAATAATAAACAAGTAATCATGCGATGTTGCTCGTACAATTAAGGATTAATAGTACTCGTGATGTTTGGAAATTTGCCAAATTGGACTCACCCCGGCGGCTTGTCCAATTTTGGCAAAATTTCTAATTGTACTCGCCATCGCATGATTACCTATACTAATACGTTGTGTAATTATTTAGACACAGTATTGCCGAAAACCACGATGCTATAAATGACTTAGTGAGGAAGAGAAGAGTGTGAGCTATTTTCTTTGTTTTCCTTTATTCGCAAACTTATTTCTATCACTTTATCTATTTTGATAACTCTGAATCTTCAGAACATTAAAGACTATTAATTAATTGGAACGAAAGCATCAGGTAAAAAAAAGATGGAAAGTTGGCGAGGTGCAGTATAATTCTGCAGTACGTGTGCTTGAATGTGAGAGAAAGCATTGTGTCTTGGAGAATTTGTATACTATAGCAGTGGAACGGATATTTCTATTGACTTTAAAGCGTAAATATTCAGGTACTGTACGAAGCTGTTATAAAATTATACTAATCAAAGCCAAAGGCCATTGAAACCGAGTCACGGATGAGATCAAATGAAAGTGACAGAAAGAATTAAGAGCAGTTTGCAGTTGTTTTTGCAAACGGATACCGTGTAAATTTTGCCATTTTTCGTGTTTCTTTTGCCAAATCAAAAGAACGAAATCGTTCTTCAGCCGATTTCCAGTTCTGAAAGGCCCGATTCGCAGGCAAACAGGTGTGCGCAAAGCAGGCTAGTCATTTCCCATTGTTTAACTGCCCCACGGCTCACACTCAAATAACTACAACACAACATCCGTGAGTCAAAAGAACGCAACATCCGAGAGTCAAAAAGGCTTGTGGGAGTTTAGTAAACGATAAGCCCGCAGTGGGAGTACATGTATTTTGACTAGAATCCAAAATTTAGCTTTTTTAAAACTCATTATCCCCAAATCAAATAACTATTTATTGTTTAATAGATGGACAGAAAATTGCGATAAAATTATCCAAACAAATTACCAAGAAAACAAACACATTAAAGGTTTCCGTCGAGAAGTATAATGCATCCCTGCTTGCTGGTGTGATCGTGTGGAAGGGCTACCTGGTTGTCTCGACTTTGATGATGTAAAAGATCCAGAGTCTTCTATATATCAAGATTTTAAAGTTGTTGCAGATGAACAGGTCCCGTTCTCGATTAAGAGAACCGTAATTGACCTTCACCATCTCACTGAAAGGTGTAAAGAAGAATTGGGTCTTGTCAACATCGAAATAGCAAGGTTGGTGAAATATTACACCAAGAGAAAAAATGAATTCCAGGAATTCATAGAGAAGCACATGCAGATTCTGCACTGTATATGAGAGGTCTTTGCTGCATTTTGCAAAAACGAGCATGTGAAGAAGAAAACAAGTTATACTGGCTTGGATGTCTCCTTTGTGATCACCTTACTGTAAGTATGTTCTCGTTACTTCAGCAGGAATTTAAATTTTGCAGCATTGCAGAATTTTCTACCGATAATTTGCAAGCAGAATCAGAAATGCAGGACCTGCTTTGTGATTCAGATAGTGAGGATGATATAGATGAGGATGTATTTGAAATAGGAATTTCAGATGATGATGCTGAGGATGACGATGATATGTTGCTTGATTGCTAAATACTATTTGTATATGTAGGTAATCGCATGGAGCCGAGTAAAATTAAGGTTTAATTTCACGCATGTTTTCAAATGAACCTTTGAAAACACAAGTGAAGTAAAACCTTAATTTTACGAAGATTATTTACGATTACGTGTTAATCATACAGTAGGGGTAAAATCTATTAGTACATAAATTGTGAACTTGTCAAGGTGCCGGTGGGGGGGGGGGGATGGGTGTTGGATACCTATATCATTGTAACACCATTTGTTATTGTTTTAATACTACTTTGCTTCAGAAGCGAAATTTTTCTGACAATGGTTTAATATACAATGGAATTTAAAGAGGATCTACTCGGCTCATAAAATGGCTGTCAGCAACTTCAGCCAGCAATAGAGTGAATAGACCCTTTCGACAACTACGTCACACGTACGCCTCGGAGATATGGATTGGCTCACGATTCATCAGAGTGAGGCTCCTAGGCCAAATGACGTAATTATCGAAAGTGTGTATTGCATGGTGTGACAACAACCTTTAATATATGTAGCTAATACAGTATATTTAATAACCTCGCCAGCTTATAGCTCGCATCTTTTCGGTGTATTTGTAGTCTTCTGTGTACACCTTACAGTGGAACCAGTCAATGCATTGATAAATATTTAAAACGTGAAAACGATTTACAAGCTTTGCAGTTAAGGGGATTCATCACAAGTTCTTTTACAGAACAGTTTAAAGTCACTACCGACTGGGGTACAGTTCTCTTCGCCAGAACACACACATCTAAATCTAGCATATTCATGATATGCAGAAAATCGGTAGTAAGGGCACAGATATGGTAAAAGCGACATAACTTCAAGAATTTCTACCACTGTGAAATCGTTCATACAGGTTTTGTGCAAGTACCTGGCTGCTGATGAGCCATCTTCATGTCTTGGGTCTGCCAAAGATAAACCAGTGGCTATCACCTGATACCACGATTTTATCTTGTGTACATAGTACCTTATCTTTTCTTCAAAACAATACTTCTTAGGTGATTGCTGTTGCTCTGATTTGTGTTTTTTCTTATTCCCTGTTACGACCGTAGACAACGCTTTCTGCTTGGCTACTCTTGGAGTATAGTGTTTTTCAACTTCCATCATTGCTTCATGCAAAGTCTTTCTTGCAGGCTCGTAGCCAAGGGGGATTTTGTAAAGATCAATATTGTAATTCTTCCAAAAGTGAAAAGAAACAAGGGGGGGTGGGTGCAAGTTGCGAATATTTTTAAAGAAATCAACTGTCGTCATTAAATTGAAATAATTGCGTATTTGCGTTCACAGGCTATCCAGTATGTTATATGTACAGTTTAGTTTGATGCAACGCCTCAGAATATCTTCAAAGAAAAGAAATGAACTTAGTAACCGCTGTTGATGCGGTAACTTCGCTAATCGCTAAATTTTCTTCTTTCCGGATTGAGGAAAAATTTGCCGAGTTTGTGCGCACTGCTGAATTCACGTTGAAGATTTGTTTAGAGATTCCAGCAACAAACGCCGTAGAATGCTTCCAAGTATAGCTGATGGACAAACATTGCTTGATCAGTTGATGCATCATTAAGTCACCATGTTTTCTCCTCAACTCAAAACAGCACAACAGTGTCAGCAGAAAGTAAATTTCGCACTGGTTTTTACTATTGTCTGTTGGATCTGCTGCTGAGGGAGCTGAAGAGGCGATTTAATTTTAAAATTCTAAAATGCAGTAAAGCATTTCTCAACTTAATAACAAGTTCATAAAACTTTCTTTATCAATTAATTTGACATGCTATGTTATTAGTTTATTCCACATATGCTTTGTTAATCTCGTAAATATTACATCTATGGCATAAAATAAACCAAATCTGTGGCAATATCGTACCCAGAGCAATGCCTGTGCGCGGGCTAGGATGGCATTGGCTCTGGGAAAATTGACAACTGGAAGCCCTAAATTTAGGGGTTCCGGTTCTTTGTCGGCATGCACGATTGATAAACGTTAAACCAATCACAGCACAGGAAAAATTCAATTTCCCCAGAGCCAATGCCATCCTAGCCCGTGCACAGGCATTGCTCTGGGTACGAGATTGAATCTGTGGCATATAGATCACCAAAAGGCCATACCAAATATGCACGTGGGAGCGTTTCGCTAACCTAAAAATTGAAGCTTTTAGAACAGCACTTTTATGTATTTGGCACTTTAGACCCCCATCCGTATGGGGCTGGCTACGCAACTGCTTTCTTGGTCTTGCCTCTTCATCATTTGCAGTGTTCTCTTTTCTAAGGGGAATTTCAGAATCACTGGATTTTGACTTGTTTTTTGTGCAGGTATGTGCAATATCTTTGACTTTGTCGTATTCATCCCAGGAAAATATCTTGTGTGCCGTCTTTAAGTGGGGTAAAAGTAATAATGTTTTATTGCAAATCTTGCATGTTTTCTTCTTTCTGTATTTCATATATCCTGGTTGCCGAATATTTGATGAAATTGGATTTTTCAAATAGCGGTGATCTTTCACTGTAATGTTGGGGTGGTTTCGTTTCAGGTGTTTGTCTAGTCGTTTTAGGAATTGCCCATACTTCAAACACTCATTTACTTTACAAACTCCATCAAATCCCTGGGTAATAAAACAAATTAGAAATTAATTTCATCTTTGGACAATGTAAGTCGTTAACACTAATTGGCAGACACAGCGATAGGGTGGTCGGTTCATTCAATATATGCGGGATTTATCCAGCTTGTTACAATGATAAAGTCAGTGAAATGATGTTATAGTCATGTATATGTCAGTGGGAAGTATATAATTTTAAAATAATATACAGCCAATTAAAAATAGGTTGTCTTAATTTGCAAGCTCTAAACCTTAAACTCTAAGCGTGCAAAGCTTAATGTGAACACAAGTTGAATATTGCAGCTATTTGTGAATGAATTGTTCTTGTAAGGAATTATTTATCATGTCTCTAAGAAATGGGCCCCATATATGATTTCTAAACTGATTAAATGATGCTCCCATTATGCTTTGTTTAAAGTTTGCAAAGGAAAACCTTTTTTGAATTAGGTGTCAAAGAGGAGGTCAACTGAGTTTATTCTGCATATGTGCTATGCTGGTCCTGATCAATGTAAACAATACCCAAATTTTACATTGTTTCAACAGCTTCTGAATGGAAACTGCAAAGAAGTGTTCATATTAGTTACTTCCCAAGTAGCAGGCATTTATTGCAGGCGGGAAGAAACCCCTGCCCAAATGGCTATGACAAAATTGTTTTTGCCCAGATGGACGTTTTGTAATTAGCACCTTCACCCATTATCCAGTCGTAGTCGAGATTTATATTTAGCATCACACAATTACTTCCATTAACAAGATTGACCAATGGCAAGCTTTTCCGAGTTTCTTTCGGTCAAGAACAAATTTGTCATAGCCATTTAGGCAGGCGTTTCCTCAAACAACACCCTTTCTTCGCCCTCACGCACTACTTTCCATGGGAAGGTGGCTATGGTTAGTTATTTTTTTTGGGGGGGAGGGGTTGCCATTTTCTAAAATTACAATTATAAAAAATTGTCTGGAGATATTGCAGGGACTTGGGCAACCTCGTACCCAGGGCTAGTCACAAATTGAAAAATCGGGCGGGCAGGCCCTGGGTACGAGGTTGGGACTTGGGAGGGTTTTTAAAGATGCTGTACGGTCCGATCTCCACATGTGCACAAAGGAGCCCCATTGAGAAGCTTGTATGTCCTAATTATTCAAGGAAAACATAACTTGTTAGTATTTGAATCATGTTTAAATAGAACGATCCATGCATTCTTTAAAACTTTTGACTTACTTGCAATGAAATGTCATGAAATATAATGGTCAAGTTTAAATCACCATAGCCTCCCCCCCCCCCCTCCCATGATGATGATGATGATAAACTTTATTTAAAAATCACACGCTAGCCTTGTCAACTTTCGCTGATTTCCACAAGGGGCGTGTCAATTACATTATAAATAGTAGCAAACATTAAAAATGAACATATTTACAATAGTCAACCCAATATTACACCATAATAATTATATTTACATTATATTATGAGAAATTGTGAGCACTAATTCGACTTTTAAAAATTGGCAAGGTAGCCGAATCACACAAATCTTCAGGTAAGGAATTCCACAATTTCGCCCCATCGTAAGAAAAACTTTTCTTAATATTTTCAGCCCTGGGAAAAGGGATTTGCAGTGATGTAGAGGAACCCCTTAGCTCGTAATCTGTGACATCGCTTTTACGCATAAAAAGATTAACAAGTGCATTTGGGGACAAATCATTTAAAACTTTGTACATTTGTACTGCTTTAGACTTAGCTCGTTGAGACTCAAGAGTTTCCCACCCTAAGGCAGTAATTGCTTCTAATCTAGGGGTATCATTTGTCATACCCATTACTATTCTTGCCACTCTATTCTGCAGTTTTTGAAGTCGAGTTGAAAGGCCAATGCCCAAGGTATCCCATAGCTCACTGCAATAATCGAAATGAGGGCGAACTAAAGCATTGTAGATAGAGATCAAGGTTTCCCTATCGACAAAGTCACATATTCTTCTTAAAGCTCCTACACCGGAAGTAACCTTGGCCACGCTTTCAACATGCTTGTTCCAAGACAATTTTTCATCAATTTGAACCCCAAGTAATCTACTATGATCAACTTGCTTAATTTTGTCTTGATCTATTTTTATATTTGGTTGATTAGTAAGGTTCTTTAATCTATGATTTGGACCAATAAGTATAAATTCGGTTTTTGAAGCATTGAGACTCAGTTTGTTGGCTAAAAGCCAGGTGTGTACACTAAGGAGATCATTATTCATGGCCAACTCAACTTCCTCTATTGAGTCACCAGCTACCGTAAGATTGGTGTCATCGGCAAATAGCCGAGGGGCAGCTTCATGAAGACATTCTGGAAGATCATATATATATAAGAGGAAGAGAAGTGGACCAAGGATGGATCCCTGTGGAATACCGCATGTCACATGCCGCTCGGATGACATTACATCTCCCAGTTGGCATTTCTGTTTGCGATCAGACAAGTATGATTGTATCATGGTTAAGGCACTACCATTGATACCGTATAGCTCAAGTTTTCGCACCAAAATATCATGATTTACAGTATCAAAGGCCTTTTTTACATCCAATAATACAACCAAATTAAACATTTTGCGGTCCATATTAACGTACCAACTGTTTGTGCAATCCAAAAGAGCCGAAGCAGTTGAATGAGATTTGCGGAAACCAAATTGGTGTTCAGAAAGGATCGAATTGTCGTTAAGGTATTCATAGATCTGATCATACATAATTCTTTCCATAACTTTACTTATTGCAGGTAAGATTGAGATTGGCCTATAGTTTTCTGGGAGATCTCGTGGACCCTTTTTATGAAGTGATAGAAGTCTAGCAGCTTTCCATTCATATGGAAAACAGCTTGTTATGATAGCATGATTAAAGATGTGTGTGAGTGATAAGGCAATAGTAGGGGCTGCAGTTTTTAAAATCTTTCCAGATATTTTATCAAGACCAGTTGCTTTCGAATTGGATAAACGTAGTTACTAAAACATGGAACGACCCACTACGACCCCACAACGTTGTGGATCGTTGTGGGTTGTTCCATGTCTGAGTAACTACGATTGGATAAACCATTTAGAAGCTTGACTACTTTAGTATGTGAAACTAACTTAAAGCGTGTCATTTTTTATGTAGCTGGTTTGACGAAACGATCAAACGTAATGTCAGTATCATCAATAGAACTAGCTAAGTTAGGGCCAATGTCAGTAAAATATATATTTATAAAAGTATTGGCAATTTCTTCAGGTGAGGTAATTTTTGTATCATTAAACTTTAATTCATTAACAACGGTATTACCTGGAGAACGACCGAGTAAGTTTATTATTGATTTCTTCCAAGCCTCTTTCGGATTATTATTTTGATTTGATATTTTAGTGCGAAAATAATCTGTTTTAGCTTGTCGTAGGGCAATATTGACCTTATTCCTAGTTGATTTGTACTTATCCCAAGCAGCACGGGAACCAGTCACCATTGCCTCATGCTTTAATTTATCTCTTTCAAAGATGATTTTTTTAATTTCCCCAGTCAGCCATGGAACGCCAGATTTTCTTTTTTTAATACGCTGAACAGGGGCATGCTTATCCAAGACTTCCAAAAATAACTTTTTCCAAAGGGCCCACATGGAATCAGTATATGATTCCAGAACAATTTGCTCCCATGGCTGAGCTAGAAGATCCTGTCTAAAAGAGTTATGGTTAAACCTTTTCATGTTTCTGACCTCAACATTCCTGGTCATATTGCGTGTAGACACAATGGGATTGATTTTTCTTATACCATAAATTAAGCTGTGATCACTAATTCCCATATGAATTATGCCAGTCGAATTAATTTTCTCTAGCATAGATGTTATATAGTGATCTATAAGTGTACAAGAAATATTTGTTATTCGTGTCGCCTCAGTAATAAGTTGAGATAACTGGTATATTTTTAATATAGCTTTCAAGGTTTTAGTTGGTTGATCAGAAACAGTATTAAGCAAATTACAATTTAAATCCCCTAAGATATGCAGTTCTTTGTTTTCGTCATCAATCGATTTGATCATCTTTTCAAAATCAACAAAGAACTCAGAAGTGGAATCTGGTGGGCGATAAACAGATACAACAATAAAACTTTTACTATTTGGTTTGCAAATCTCCAAACAGACCGCTTCGATACTCTCCGGAACCAGATAATTTCGAATTTTATAGTTAATAGAAGTATGGAGATATATACATACACCACCCCCTCGGCGAGATCGATCTTTCCTGACTATATCGTAGCCACTGATATTTACTAAGCCATCCGTATTGTCTAATCTGGTTTCATTTAAAGCAAATAAATCTAAATTTGAAAAGAGTTTATATATGCGTAATTCCTCAACATGTTTAGGTATTAAGCTGGCTATATTAAGTAAAGCCATCTTAAACCCCCTAGAATTTGCACAATTAGGAAATGGGTTGGATGTAGAATTTTGAGAATTAGCACTCACATTTTCACACAGTCAACTTCTAAGTAATAATTTAAAATTGTTTTGTAATAGCAAACTACCAGAGGGATTTAAGTGTAAACCTCTGGAATTCAGATGAGAGTCCTTTTATATTGGAGTTCTCTATAAATACCCAACCATTTTCACAACATGAGGATTTAATCAAGGAATTTGTTTGTCTTACCCTGTCTGCAATGCCATTGACATCTTTTCTAGTAAGAATTCCAGAAACAATGACCTTGATATCAGGACACTGCTGGTAGATTGTCTGTACCAAATTGGATATTTTATCAGCAACAACTTTTAAGTCTGTGCTACGTAGGTCATTAGTTCCTATATGCAGTATTAGTTTCTCTGGTTTTTTTCTCGCAGTATTGGCTTGATAAAGTCCTTCATGTCATCAACCGTCGCCCCGAGAATGACTTAACTGTAACGCGCTCGGACGCGTTGGACAATTCCCAGCCTTTAACATACTTGATAATCAAATCGCCGACGATTACGGTATTACGCTTAGCTTTTGTACTGCGAACCGGGGTAGCACTTGGTTCAGATGACGCTTGACTTTGCTTTGCACTTGCGGAATTATCTGGGACATTGCTGGGTGAGGCAATTTTCCTTGTTTTCTTTGATGATGCTATTGGCTTTTTAGTAGCGCTTTTATTTGTGTTGACTTTTTCCTGTTGCATGGTAGGTTCATCATGGGTTAGGATTGGCTCTTCATTCTTGGCAGACGCTGCTAGATCGCTGTCGCTAAGGATTTCATATCTGTTAACAGAACTACAGTTTATAACATTTCGGTTAATAGGCGGCTTTACGACAGGCATATAAGTGGTGGAGTTATGTGATGATTTTAATTGAATCTGATTTGGCTTGTGATTATTCACAATATTCCACGGCTTTTCTGTGGTATTTGACTTTATGCTAGACTGATTATAGTCATTTTGTATGAGCTGTAAAGCTGTTAGTAAACTTGATTTCTCGTTTTCAAGATTCTTGTTAGATATGCTCAGCTCCGTTATGGTATATGTCATACTAGTATTATGCTTTCTGAGTTCATCATTGGCTTTGCATAGATCAACTTTCTCTTTCTTAAGCTCTTCAATAACGTTTTCTAACACCGCGATTGAGTATGGCCTATTCTCTTTGATGCTGTTTAATTTGTATGCGAGATCTGTTAATTTGGTTGTAACATTATCGGCAAATTTCTCAAGCTTAGATTTCAATAGTCTAATTTCAGAGGCACCATTGTTGCTTTTGTCTATGCTTCCTGAGGGACTATGTGATTTTTTCGCCGTATGCAAAATCGGTAATCCTCTATGCAAATTTTCATTTGTTGGCTCCGAGCTAGCTTTTGTACTTTCGAGATTAGAAATGGCCTCCTCGTGTTCCCAATGACAATTTCTCAATTCTTTCGCAGCCTCTCCCCTATCAATCGGTTTGAGAACCCTCGCTGGTGTCGACACAGCTAGGCAAAACTGCTCATTAAAGATGTTATTACTCGTCACGTCGACATCGTTGGCCAATAGATTTCCATTGACTTTTCCAGCTCGGCTTCGACAGGATCGGCAGTTTCTGCGGTGCCCTTGCTCGCCGTTAGGAATGAGTACACTCGTTTCGTGAGGTCGTTGCCTTTTTCTCCTTTAAAATATATATTCTCACTTGTTTTATGCCACCTAACTGATAGCAATTCACTGTCGAAATTCCATGTTCCGCCGCCGGGTGATCGGCAACTTGTACTTTCGGCTGTATTTTCGTTAATTTCTGTAGCCACAAATGCTTTAAGGCCTTCTAGCGTTCCTGTCCATTTAATTTTATTCTTCTTTAGGCAAAAATTGCCATACAAGGCGTTTAAAGTGGTTGTAGAATTCATATTGATCAGGGCAGTAAAATACACGTCCGACCACCACAAGCAAGCCTACCATCCCACTATAAAATCAGTTACATCAACCCTCCTTAAACATTATTGATTTATAATCATATTGCCCATCATATTTCAAAAGCTCGTAGTGCAAATGAGGTTAATAGCAAAATTTCGAATGAGAGTTGTAATAGATTACTATCGCTCAAGGTTTGGGATGCGTATGTACATTTGAAATAGCATTAATAGCCGCATAATATAACAGGCTCCATAATATAAATATACAATTGTATTTAAATAACAATGGCCTACATAATGACTATACATGAATATTATTTAATACTGTGTTCTCACTGTTACGACAATACATGTTGATTGTTGGAATCGATCAAGGGAATATTGATACATTTCAAATTTATGCATTTCTTTCGCCTCAATATCCTAATAGTTTACCCAATCATTGGCATATATAAAGTGCTAATTATTAAACGAACAACTCACCATCACTGCACAAGTCTGTCATGTTTCACTGGAATCATCGATGTACAAACGAACGAAGAAACCAGACAGCACACCGCCTTTTTATAAAAATATCGATCTTTTGATGTTTCGAACACTACTGAGTATTGAGAACCGAACAAATGCAAAATATGGCGCCAATTCATCATTGCGCCAATTGGCAAAGCCGTTTCTGAAAAATGACGTCATAGAACATTATTGTCGCGTCCCTGCGCAGCCATTGTAGCAACCCTGGGCCGGGAACAGATGACATACAAGCCAATCACGTTCCCCGAGCCTGCGATCCTCGGGAAGGAATGCGAGGCTCTGGGATAATCCGTTGCCGGAAGCCAGGAATCCTGGCTAAGATAAGCTAAGATTGAACTGCGCATTCCATGTCAACGTACTCCCAATCAGATTCCTCCCATGAAACGGATTATCCCAGAGCCTCGCGTTCCTTCCCGAGGATCGCAGGCTCGGGGAACGAGATTGCATACAAGTTTAAACCATTGAGTGGTAGCACTCTCCCCATGACGAATAGTCTGGCATTGGAAAGAGTAAAATCCTCTTCCTAATCATGATAAATGATCTCCTCGCCGATTGGAAAGACCGATGGAAATACGTTGACGACACCACCACTACCGAAACCATTGGCCCAGATTGTAACAGCAACCTTCAAGAACTGGTTAATTACATCAATAATTGGACTACGAGTAATAATATGAAACTAAACATCGGAAAATGCAAAGAACTGGTTATTGATTTTGCAAAAAAGAAGCATTGCTTTCCCCCCTTTAACAGTCGATAAAGTTAATATTGAACGAGAGAAATTTGCCCGTATCCTTGGCCTCACAGTTCAAGATAACATGAAGTGGAATGAACATATAAACAACATAGTTAAAAAAGCTAGCAAGAGGCTCTATATGCTAAGACTGCTAAAAAGGTCCAACGCGTGTATTGACACGTTAATTACTGTATATACTACCATTATTAGGCCTGTTTTAGAGTACGCATGCCAGGTCTGGCATTACAATATCCAACAATATTTATGTGACGATATTGAAAAAATTCAAAAACGTTCGTTGAGAATCATCCTCCCATCGCAAAAGTACGACGAAGCGCTGATCACGACTAACATCACGTCACTGAGAGATCGCCGAGAAAAGTTATGCGAACATTTCTTTGAGAAGAATATTGACAATGAAAATCTCAAAGATCTTTTACCACAAACAGTTTTATCTGGATATGATCTAAGACCGATATGTAAATATCATAATTATGTTTGCAGAACCGAACGTTTTAAGAATTCGTTTTTACCTCAAAGTATATTAAAGATTAACAGTAAATAAGTTTTTAGAAATGTAAATAATCTTAAATGTGTAATTATTATGTAATTTTAACTTATCCTCTTAATTTATATAATACTGGTGTAATTTAACCTTTTTGGGTTACAAAGTCAATAGTCATTAAATCAATTCAATTCAATATTTGCCCGATTCGGCGATAAAAAGCAAACAAGACGGCAAAATATGGCTGAAATCGTGTTTTCGGGGGGGGGG